AATTGTCAGTCAAAGTGTTCAGAAGACTCTGCATCTTGTCAGCGTCTTTACCTAAGAGAACTACGTCATCTTGTACATTTTAACTCAGTTATGTAGGAGTATTTGTAATGATGAAGGTAGCAAGCAGCATTACGTACTTTACCAGGTGTAAAGAGATCCATACTGTATTCAACGAAGATGCGGAATGAAGTTATGATTATTGATTGTTGTAGTGCATGTTGCATACTGAAGGAGGAAAATGAGAACAACGATTAGCATCGTAGTAATGTAACTGGAGAAAGCAGTTCCAATGAGCAGAGGTGCAGACGTCGTTCACTTCCACTGTGCGGGAATTCTGTCTGGTATGTGAGTGAGTATCCTGTAGTTAAGAGAAATCTGTACATCACATATGATTCTGATTCTTCACTTTTCGTGGGTGAAGGAAACTGAAACTAGCCAACGTGTTGGCTTATCCATCAGATTTTTATGTGTCCCTTTCGCAACCACCATGACGGTAGATGCTTAGCATCACTTATGTTAGGTTGTCTAGTAGTACGCTTTATATAGTTAGCTTTCTCCACAGGAACACTTAAACTTGTAAATACACATAGAAATGGCAAAACAAGATCTCTTATCTTTTGTCTGAGGAACAACAATTGGTCGATAAGAGAAAGGATAGACACAGTAGTGTGTGGAGTGGAAAAAAGCAATTTGTTGTTACACTGCACCTCCCTCTTGCTAAACTTTGTTTTCTTACCAAGATTAGCATCAGCTAGGTCACCCTTCCTGTTTCTTCTCATCTTTCTTAATTTTAATCCCCCTATTGTCTTAATATTGTTATATATGTTGTGCCACTCATCGGTTTAATATATATACAGTTGAGACAATTCAATATGTCTTGGGGAAGGGGTGCGGGGAGATAGTTCGGAATGTGTATTGCGCAAATACATCACACTCACACACACACACACACACACACCTTCTTCAGATAATCTTTGTCTTTCAACTACGCTGTTGAAATTTATAAAGGGGGCTAACTGAATGTTTCATTCGTACATTGTTTAGACGAAGAAGAAGAAGGAGAGTAAGCAATCATCATCATTATAATAGTAATAATAATAATCATATCATCCTATTGTACAAATATTGTTTGATGTAACCTTCACAATTCACCAAGAAGAAATGAATGTAGTCGAAGGAAAACTGAGAATAGGCATAAATAACACTCACCTTTAAAGCATGATTCTGTGCTAGAACTGAATCTAAAGCATCTTGTTTCGACAGGAGATTATCCGTTAACTGTCTGATACGTGATTCCAAAGTAAAGATATTCTCAGGATCATTTCGATTGGGTGACTTATTACTATTACTGTTACTATTACTGCTACTGGCAGCACTAGCGAGTTGCCTTAATCGATTCAATTCTGATTCACTTGATATTAGTTTAGTGTGTAAATCAGCTTTCTGATGACTGAATGTCTCTTCAATTTCACGTAATGATTGTCGTAATTGTGCCAACTCAGTATCAGCATCTTCTCTAAGCTGTTGATAAATTTATATGCAAAAGTGACCAAATTATCAACACAATAGAAGAGGAGTATGAAAGATAATTAATCATAATGTTTACCACCTTAAAAACTGAAATTCAACAGGATTCTGTGCTAACCTGTTCAGCGATGTCTACCACTGGTTCCTATCATCCTCGACACACACAGCCCCCAAACCAGGAAGTCTACACCTCTCTGCAGTGCTCAGACCAACAGTTAGAGGTGTCATCGACTACTACTGCATCTTCGTATTGCCATCCTCAAGCCCTCTTCTCCAACCTAGTTCAACTCTCCCACACCAGCATGCCACATCGAGGTAGGCGGTGGTGACTTGGCATGTGCACCACATGTCACATCGGCTGATGACAGTTCTCAACCTTATCAATCAACTTACCTCTCACACACTGATCTCACTAAACGGTCATGTCTCATAGCTGTGTAAGAGGATAGAACAAACTGAAGAGCAGTATACTCATGCTTCATCTGAGATCAACCGGTGCCATAGATGAAGGAAGTTGGCTAAATGGCGCAGTCTCGGTCCAAGTTGACGTTCTGTTAACAACCATCCCATCATCCAGGGGACTGATGCAACTTCACAAGTAACAAAAGTGGTCAACACACTCCATCACTTCACTCTCTATCTTTAATCTACGAGCAGTTGCAGACCATCATCATTATAATCTTAGATTCCATACATATGAAATGCATACCATACATACTCCGATTTCTACTCAATGTGTTCATATGACCCTGAATTTCATCAGCATCTTCACCTAGCACGTGAATATCTTCTGCATACTTCAAGTCAACTAGGTGACCTGCTAAGAGTAGATCAATCCATGTGAAGCTAGATGTATTCAAGTTTATGTACATTAGTACATCTATAACGAAGTTGAATAGGAACGATGACAGTAAGCATTCTTGACGGACACCACCAGTGGTCATCAATTGTGATGAGGACCCATTTTAAGGACTCAGAAAGATGTGAGGCCTCCACAAAGGGACTCGAAGCATCAACACTTTCCCAGTTCAATGTTTAGCTCACATGGCGAAACATTTCAGTGTACGCTATCCTCCGATTGATGAGGAACAGTCAATTTCTCGATGGTTTCAAATGCGCCAAGGTGATGAGTGCCGGCGATGGCAAAACTTTTCTTCGGTTTATAGTGACAACGATTACGTGGAATAGAGATGAGAGAGAAATATATATATATGAAATATAGTAATCCATCTACCTGTTTTTCTCGTTCTGCTTGTTCTTCAGATAATTCAATATTACGTCGTAATGATTCGCGTTCTGTTTGCATTTGTAATTCTAACTCTTGTATTGCCATTTCTTTATGATCCACTTCAAGACGCCATCGACTAGCTTCTTCACGTAATAAATCACATTCGGCACGCATAGAATTAATTAATTCATTCTCAGAATTATCTTCTTCATTATCATGAATATTTTTTGAACCTTCACAGCTTAAATCTTGACCACGTAATGAAGCAATCACCTATGGAATTAAACAATTCACCGAAGTATAGAAGAACAACACATTATGACATTAGAATATCCTAATGTCTCTCCTTATAGCTAAATGTTAAGCTAACGGATATCGATTCACCTTATCAAGGAGAGTACAGCTTAATTGTTGAAGGGTTTTCTAATACACTCTCCTAGTGAATGTGAACAATGCAAGATAAAATAGCATCTCCTATGCATTAGCATCAGGTTAGGACTGAGCAGATTGGTATACTTTTAGGAGTAGTTATGACACAATAAAACAATATACATCATACTTCAAAAATACCTAAACATGATACGTTGCTGGAAGATAAATGAGGGTTAAGACAAGAACACTAACAGTTCCTAAGAAGCAAATCATCTTGAAGCTGGAATTTAAGAATCACATTGCCAGTGAGATCATCACACAATGCATAAAAAGAGTCTTGCATAGAGCATTCCCGCCTTTGAAGTGAAGACAGGAATAAGACAAGGCTGTCTACTATCACCCATGATATTCCTGATTGTGGTGGAATGGATCATTCAGCAAACAGTGAGGAGTGAGAAGATGATCATACGCTGACTGGACCGATGAAAATATCCCACAAGAAGATTTGAATTTCATCAATGACTTGTGTTTAATGTCACATAAACTTGAAGATCTACAGGCGGAAACTAACAAGTTGACAGGGGAGGCAGGGCAACGAAGACGGCACTTCAAGTGAACGTAGAGAAGACAGTGGTGACAGATGAAGATACCCAACCAACGCCATCAACAACAACAAGCTCCAATCATCATCAACGGGCGAGACCTAAACGAAGTAGACTCTTTCACCCACCACCTAGGCAGCATCGTTTCAACTACAGATGGCGGTGGCACAGACGAGAACGTCAAAACCAGGCAGGATCGGAAACACAGCAAGACATGCCTTCCTGCATTAATCTGAAATAATCAGTGTGAAGATCTTCTTAACTCAGCATAAAACGTGAACAACATCCGGATTTTCAACACTACTAATCTTAGTCAAGTAAGTCAGTGAGTGCTTATATGTGATGGTTGAGAGATTTGATGCGTTACGAAAAGCATTTCCAACAAACTACTGACATTCATCAACAACTGTCGCCTTCGCTGGCTCGATACTGAAGATCAGATGGCCAGAATAATAACAGTGAGCAACAAGGAACTCTGGTTGGGAACGAACCAACCAACAGCCTATCACTCAACAAATGTGCAGAGGAAGGAAGTGTAGATGGATTGAATTGGGCATACACTGAGAAGGCCGACTGAGGACATCACGCGTCAGGCCAGGCACTCGAGTGGAACTCAGATGGGAAACAGCGAGTTAGGCGTCCAAGGCAAGGATGACATGGAGGAGATCATGTGAAGAAGAAATGAGAGCTTGTGGGTTGTCGTGGATCCAGGTTGAAAAGACTGGAGAGAAGAGAGTGGAATGAAGACGTGCTACTGAAGCCATACGTGCCACTTGGAACCTCAGTGACAAATAATAATATAATGATAATATAGCATTCCCAGCCGCTAAATTATGTCCCATCCTCTACAGCTGTGAGATTCTAGGTACAAGGGATAAAAATAAAGTGTATGATTCTGCCACTTCCATGTGTATTCATCAATTCGACTGCTCCTGTGGAGCTAGTTACGTTGGGCGTACAATGAGACAGTCGCATTGTCGAGATTGTGAGCACCACCCATCATGGTTTAGCAAGGGACAAATTAGAACAATAAAGAGCTTTATACTTGCACACCTAGTTGACATCAAATGGATACCATTCAAGGTAATTTATCTATCAGTCTCTGTTTCACCATTGGGTATTCTTGGAGCATAATTTGTTATTTATCAGTACTATAAGTTCCTTAAATTAAATTATTATTATTATATTATATTATTATGTTATTGTATATCTTACACGGATTACTCTTATCTAGTTATATTTATTTATTTATTTATTATGCTTACTGTTAGGTTGATCGACTCAATAGTCAATTGAAAGATTCAGATACACGTGTTCGTGAATTACAAATTCAATTGAAAGAAATTCAATTAACAAACAAATCAAATGAAAATAATAACAATATTATTGAACAATTAGAAATGAAATTGAAGAAAATTAAATCAGAATTGTCAACTGTACAAAGTGATTTATGTTATGCACAATCACAATTGGATAAAAATAAACTGACAATTGTAAGTTAATCTTTTACTGTCTATGATGCATAATAAAATTGTATACTTATTCTCTTTAATTAGTTATATAATAATGGTATAGAGATAGAAAGAGTTTTAATAACGAAACTATTGTCTACAAGTTAGGATTAAAACTGAGAAGTATTCTCATTGAAAGGCGTGCTGAGTAACCATATCACCTTATTGAAGACTGTACTCGAACACTTGTGGGTGTTTAAAACTTATAGAGAAATGTCCACGGAGATGTACTTGTCGAATGGTGTCCATCGATGCTGTCCAATGTCTTCATTCTTATTCAATTTTATCACAGATATTCCTTTTCTATGAAGACGCTGATAAGATGCAGAGTTTTCTGAACACTTTGAGTAGCAATCTGAGAATGTTTGTGATACGTTTCTCACCATCCAAATGTAAATTGTTGTTCTAGGATTGGTCCTAAACGGTGCCCCACCGCGGCTAACAATAGAGAGTGTAGAAGTTGACTGTGTCGATCACTTCACTTCACAGGTAAGTGAAGTAGGATCAGCACTATCCTGGTGGCTCAGTGACCGGTGATATTGTTTATTAAGGGTGGCACGTCTACTGCATAGCAGACCAATCTGTTCTACTCTATGACTGTGAAACATGCCCATTCAAGGTAGATGACATGAGAAGGCTGGCTTCAGATGTTTGACCACGGTTGCCTTCGTAGTGTAGGTCGTATTCCATGGTGTCACCATGTGAGTAACGCAGAAGTAAGTTAGTGTCAGGTGTAGAGTTTTAGGGAGAAGAGGTGAATCAGTTGTGAAATTTCTTCGACTGAGATAGGTGGTTGGGACATGTGTTACACATGCCTAGTTGCTGATTGTCTCGTCATACGATGTTAGCCGAAGTAGGCCTAGACTGGAAAAAGGCTCGAGGTTGCCAGAGTAAAACATGGAATCAATATATGAAGTGTTTGACTGTTGGTTTGAGTCATGTGGGGTGATGCAGACTAGGTGGTTGGGGTCCATGGGACAAGAGAAATCAGTGGTTGGAGATTGACTGTAGGTGATCACATGGCTGAGAACCGATGTGAGTGGTGCAGATGTATGGATACATTATCCTTACGATTTTCTACTGCTTGTTATCTCTCTTTTAATAGTTTATATTTGTTTTGAGTGAATGTTGTTTTCTTCATCTTCCACTTGAGTTCCTTGTTTACTTGATGTTGTGATATGAAGTGTGGTAAGTTTTACCGTTACGCGATAATGCCTGGTGTTGTGTTGATTTGGATGGATGGACTATAAATTATAACATTTCTGGGTGTATACTTTTGGAAACGTCAACTGGACTTCATTTACTTGTTCCATCTCAGGTAGAGACAGACGAAATGAGCTTAGAACCTTGATCATGTCCTTCAGTTCAATTTGATATGTACTGGAAGCAGTATATAAGGAATTCTGAAGGCAATCGGTGTGTGTGTTTGGATGTAATGGTGATTGATTGAGTATGGTCATCTTAAAACACCAACTTTGATGTCCTAGATGTGCATTGTGAATGGCATTTTGGTGCTCTACTCACTGTTCACTTGCGGAAGTATTAGTTAGAATAAGTGCGGAGGTAGTTAGTGTATGACGTCGTAGCACCATGAGATGAAAGATAATTGTGGTGGGTTCGCATCTGAATCGGATCCAAGAGATTATGCAACGACGTGACTTGAGACGATAGAAAACATGATTGTGATTTAAAGCCAGTGATCATTATATATTAGCTTTCCGGTTTCTTTTATGAGTGGAAAGTAAGACTGAAGTATTGAATACTCCTCCTTGAATGTATAGTTCTTAGTATGCTTCCTCAATTACCTACTTTTGTTTTTTCTCCTTTCTTCCTTCCAATTTTTGTGTGGCACTTCTCTTGATACTCATACACACAAAGACAATATCACCATAGGGTCTGGCATTACTGTGTAAAACGGTTTAAGCGGTCAGACTTTACATCAGCGCACCAACAATCAGAGACTTCATGCATTGGTGCCATGTTTTAGTCTGGCCACCTCGGGCCTTTTTCCAGTTTGGCTGAAGTAGATCCAGACTAGAAAAAGGCCTGAGGTGGCTAGGCTAAAACATGGCACCAATGTATGAAGTCGCTGACTGTTGGTTTGAGCCATATGGGGCGATGCAGATTAGGTGGCTGGGGTCCGCGGGACAAGAGGAACCAGTGGCTGGAGACCCTAGGCAATATGGCTGAGAACCGATGTAAGTGGCGCAGATGTATGTATACACATACACATATTATCCTCATCCTAACGACGCTATACAGAATGTCACCACTTTCTCATTCTTCGTTTCTCTCTTTTCGTACTTCATATTTCTTTTAACTGCATTCTCTTATCTTCATCTTTCGCCTCACTGCCTTTTTACTTGATGTACTGATGTGAGGTGTGGCAAGTTGGACCGTTACGCAGTAATGCCTGGTCCTAGGTTGATCTGGATGGACGGATGGATGGAAACGGAAATGTATCAAGACAGATTTGAAAAAAATAAGGAAAAAAACAATTCCACCAATTCCAAAACTTGTAGAACGTTGTGGAAATGGGTGGGGGGAGGGGTAGGAGAGAGAGAGACAGAGCAAAGATGAAAGAGATAATACTGAAATGCGGTATGATGACAAAGATGAAGATTATGTGTGGATGCATCTTAGCCAAGGCACCTAAAGTCTCTAATTACTGGTTTATTTTGTCATAATATTCATAAGTGGAAAGTTTACGTTTCCCTACATGCCTATTTCACTTAGTGGAAGTTGGCAGTTGTCAGTCACTGAAAACGAAGGTGTATGCTTGCATAAACTGGTCACCGACTGTTATATAATGTAGCTGTATAATCTATAGTGCCTAACACTTCTAGTGTGTATACACCTCAAGCTTGGTGGTGTAGTCATTACTTTGAACTTCGTACTTCAGTGCAGAAATGCCTGCTTGAAATGCGTTTCGTGTTTTTTGGTACTCATCAGTAAGGTGTATCTACAAACTTGAAGAAATTTCTGTTCACTCGGTAATGCGAACCCGTATCATCACCCAGTGCAGAAGTCGGTAACTTCACCATCACTTAGCTACTCAAATTATGATTATCTCCCTATTAACTGATGTAGCTGACTGTCCCTTGATGCTTAGAACTGAACAAAGTGTATCGACCAAGTTTCTTAGTCTAACCAATTCTGAACACAAAGAAATAATGGAAATCTTATGGTAGCAGTGGAATGTAGGACGTGCGTTCCGTCACATTTAGGAGTTGTTAGCTGGGTATACCTGTAATTTAGTGAGTGACGTTATGCTCACTAAGTGGATAATGTTCAGGCGTTTGAAGCGACCGGTCCCGTGTTCGAACCCTTACTGGAAATAACATCACTCTCTAGGAGGCAGGTACATCCAGGTGATGAGTAAGTTCCACATTGAAAATACCCGTCTAATTGCTTCTTCATTAATTGAATAATGTATGTATAATTCCCGTTTCTTAATTATGTTACACTTTAATGTATACATCGTCATTTCTGTTCAGAATACACTGGAAGCCAGTCTTCATGAATCTCGTCAGCAAGCTTTAATTGCAGATAAAAGAACTGAATTAGCTCAAAATGACAATCTTCGATTGGCACGTGAATTAACTCAATATAAGGAAAAAGCTAATCACATTTTATCGATGAAAGAACGCGTAAGTCGTTTGTTTTCTTGATCTTATTTTTAATGTTTAAGCAATACTACTTATTTTGTATTCAGTAGTTAACTTTTATGTGATATATTACAAGTAAGAACAACTGGTTCACTTTCTGTAAGAGGTGGCCTAGTCGACAACTCTTTTGCATTTGCAGCGAAGAGTACTAGATCTGATTCTCAGTGGAGAACAACACCACTCACTGGAATGCAGGTGCATCCAGCTGAGGAGTCTCAGAGAGAAAATAGAATTTTAAGGGTGGAGAAAGGGAAAGAAAATATTTTGAGGGTAAATTTATCATGTCTCTAATTAACCCTACTGACATTCATTGTGATCATATATCTTTCAGTAATTCCTGTTTCCCCATTTCTTCAACGTGTTTGAAAGGACTTCTATTATTGTGTTGGCTTTTGTCATATAATGACATCTATGGAGCCACCGCGATATCCGATTGTCTATTAAGGATCGAGTGAACTGTGCTACAGTCATCTCTTCTACTGTATGGCTTTGAAACATGCCCATTCAAGGTAGAAGCTATGAATTGGCTGCAGGTGTTAGACCACCTCTGACTTCACAGCATAGGTTGTCTTTTTCGGGGTATCATCACGTGAGAAACTCAGAAGTCAGGTGTGTAGAGATTTAGGGAGAAGAGGTAAGTCAGTTGACACGGTTTTGAACCTTCATCGACTGAGTTAGCTGAGACATATGTTACGTATCCCTTGCAGTACAGTGTTGACTGAAGTAAGTTAAGGCTAGAAAATGGTTTGGAACAGCCAGACTAAAACATGGCATCTGTGTATGAAGTTGTTAATTGTTCGTTTGAGCCAAGTACTGTAATGTAGACAAGCCCGTTGAGGTCTGCGTGACAAGAGAAACCAGTAGTTGGAAACTGACTCTAGGTGACCACATGGCTGAGAACCGATGTGATTGACGTAGATGTATTCACTCATTATCCTCATCTCAACCGCTATACTTAATCTCATCATTTTCTCATTTCTCCACTTCTACTTCCTTTGACCGATTTTTATTTCTTTCTTCAGCTTTGATGTGTGATGATGTGTAGCAACTTGGATCGTTCTTGGGTTTACTTCCAAGTCGTAGAAATGACTGTTCAATAAAACTGTCAATTTACAGGAAACTCACATGGATAGGTCAGTGTTTAAGTTTCCATAGATTTTGTCCAACGTAATACAGCAGAGATTTGGTAACTTGCCTATTCAAAAGGATCCAGTGTATTTGTACGGAAGAATCAATGGATGATGATGGCAAACTACTAACGGGAACATTAGTGGAAAATGGATATCCATTGAAGTTCATAAACTGTTGCAAAAATCTACCAGCATTGGAACTTTTTTTCTATACTACTCAGAGGAAATGTGTTTATATACAGAGAGGAATCTTAAAACGAAGGTTAAGGTCTGTCCAATAGCAAAATATACTATACGGGCTAGGCTTATCGTAGTCGAGAAAACCAAATATACATATTGTAGCACAAACCCCAACACTGTATAAACCGATTGCGCTACATCCTACTGCGCTTATTAATTTAGGTGTATATATATATATATATATATATATATATATATATATATATACAGAGAGAGAGAGAGAGAGAGGAGGCTGAGGGAAACATGTACCGGAATGTCTACAAAAGCAGTTAGATTCGCAGACATCAATGCTTCCGTCATCATATTATGGATAAAGGTCACTAGATTGATATTAGGACAGCTTTTACAATTTTGTATAGAACCTAGCGGAGGTGTATATATGAGGTTTGTTGAAGCGCAAGTCATACACAAATTTAAGCCCCCTGTATATGTTCAAGAATAGTTTTACCTTATGTTAAGTCTACCCTGGTAATGTTTATCTTATGGTATCACCAAGTTTGTTTTCAACTTCTATCATTCTCCCTTCATTACCTGTCTTCGGCAGTTGAAACAATGGGTGCTAAGTTCGAGTCCCGGCGAGAACAACATCACTCATTGAATTGCTTGTGCATCCATCTGATGAGTCTCAAGTGGGGCGAAACACGCGTCCTAGATTCCAGTGCTAGTCATCAAGACCAATATAACATCCTTTTTGTTATATTTATCCTTCCCTCGCTTCTAGTTATTTATATATAAATTGACTTAACAAGTAAATGTGTGACCAGATTCTTCATATTTTTCACGTACACTAATCACCTTATCCAAATTCATAAAAGGGACTAATTGTTTGATATATCCTTATGCGTTCGTGAAGCCAGGACACTTGGTGTTGTTGTAGACTTTTATTGGTGTTATGTACTACATAGGCAATTTGTGGGATCCAGGTTTTGTGTCCTGTGTAGTCACTAGCACGGCATACCTGCAACCTTAAGAGAAAACATATCTCTTCAGAGACTCGAATTCTCGTCACTTGTTACTACTGTCCTGTTCATCGCACTTTTGACTTTTTGTAGCATTGAAACCGAAAACAAACAAAGATTCATTTAGAAAAATACTGATTGAGCCAGCGAAGAAATATATTCCTTTTCAATTAGGTCTTCATCTTGGGTTTTCAGGTGAACGTAGAGAAGACAGAGGTGATGAAGATATCCAACTAACTACAACAGAAAGCACCAATCACCATTAACAGGAGAAATCTAAACGAAGTTGTCTCTTTCACCTACCTCGTTTCAACTACAGTCGTTAGCGGCACAGACGGTAACGTCAAAGCCAGGATCGGAAAGACAGCAGGACAGGTCTTCCTTAATTAATCTGCAATCAATATGAAGATCTACTGCACTCCACTTCACTCAGCATAAAGCGTGAACAAGATCCGGATTTTCAACACTAATTCAGTCAAGTAAGTCAGTGAGTGCTTCTATGTGATGGTTGAGAGACGTGGCGTGTGACGAAAAATCATTTCCAACATACTACAGACATACATCACATCAAGAACTGCCGCCTACGCTCACTCGATACTGACACTGAAGATCAGATGGCCAGAATAATAAAATCAACAATAAGCAACAAGAAACTCTGACTGGCAACGAACCAACCAACCACATATCGCTCAACAAATATGCAGAAGGAGAAAATGGAGATGGAATGGATTGGATTAGACATTCACTGAGAAGATGGTTTGAGGACATCACACTCCAGACACCAGTCCGCTGAGTGTAATCCTCATGGGAGACGATGAGTTGGGTGTCCGAGGGTGATTTGGAGGAGATGTTGTGAGGAAGAAATAAAAGCTTCTGAGCAGTCATGGAGCGAGTTTTAAAAAACTGCAGAGGGTAGAGTGAAGTGGCGATGTGGTAGCGAGGTCGTATGTTCCACTAGGAACCGAAATGACATAACAATAATAATGATAATAATAGTAATAATAATAATAATAATTCATCTTGGACTCTTCATTAATATATACGGGGTTTACAATTTAATCAAATTACCAATCACATGGTAATGTTTTAGAAATAATGATGTAAATAATCAACAGAGTTACTAAAATTGGAAATATAAACCAGATTCTTCTTAGGTAAATGGCTTGGTTTTTGGTGAGTTAAGCGTGCTTACGTAATAATAAGAAAGAAAGGAAAAAAATGTATACTGATACAAAGCAAGAAGGGGGAAGAGGTGTACAAAGTAATCATAGAAAGTTGCATTATGTTGATAACCACGGTAATGAAAGTAGTCGAACAAACTTCTTTTCAATACAAAGGTTAGGTTTGTAAAGGTAGATTGTAATCGCCTTTGCTATTTAAAGTAGGCGAATGCATAATCCATATGCTAAATTAATTGGGATGTGATGAATAGTTTTGAAAGCTTTTCTACTATCCATTTGATGTCCTGTGTCAACTAGGTGTGCAAGTATAAAGCTCTTTATTGTTCTAATTTGTCCCTTGCTAAACCATGATGGGTGGTGCTCACAATCTCGACAATGCGACTGTCTCATTGTACGCCCAACGTAACTAGCTCCACAGGAGCAGTCGAATTGATGAATACACATGGAAGTGGCAGAATCATACACTTTATTTTTATCCCTTGTACCTAGAATCTCACAGCTGTAGAGGATGGGACATAATTTAGCGACTGGGAATGCTATATTATCATTATATTATTATTTGTCCCTTAGGTTCCAAGTGGCACGTACGGCTTCAGTAGCACGTCTTCATTCCACTCTCTTCTCTCCAGTCTTTTCAACCGGGCTCCACGACAACCCACAAGCTCTCATTTCTTCTCACATCATCTCCTCCATGTCACCCTAACCTCGGACGTCTAACTCGCCTTTTCCCATCTGGATTTCACTCGAGTGTCTGGCCTGGTGCCTGATGTCCCTAGTCGGCCTTCTCAGTGTATGTCCAATTCAATCCATCTACACTTCCTTCCTCTGCACATTTGTTGAGTGATAGGTTGTTGGTTGGTTCGTTCCCAACCAGAGTTCCTTGTTGCTCACTGTTATTAGTCTGGCCATCTGATCTTCAGTATCGAGTCAGCGAAGGCGACAGTTGTTGATGAATGTCACTAGTTTGTTGGAAATGCTTTTCGTAACGTGCCAAGTCTCTCAACCATCACATATAAGCACTCACTGACTTACTTGACTAAGATTAGTAGTGTTGAAAATCGGGATGTTGTTCAAGCTTTATGCTGAGTGAAGAAGATCTTCACACTGATTATTTCAGAGTAATGCAGGAAGGCATGTCTTGCTGTGTTTCCGATCCTGCCTGGTTTTGACGTTCTCGTCTGTGCCACCGCCATCTGTAGTTGAAACGATGCTGCCTAGGTGGTGGGTGAAAGAGTCTACTTCGTTTAGGTCTCGCCCGTTGATGATGATTGGAGCTTGTTGTTGTTGATGGCGTTGGTTGGGTATCTTCATCTGTCACCACTATCTTCTCTACGTTCACTTGAAGTGCCGTCTTCGTTGCCCTGCCTCCCCTGTCAACTTGTTAGTTTTCACCTGTAGATCTTCGAGTTTATGTGACATTAGACACAAGTCATTGATGAAATTCAAATCTTCTTGTGGGATATTTTCATCGGTCCAGTCAGCGTATGATCATCTTCTCACTCCTCACTGTTTGCTGAATGATCCATTCCACCACAATCAGGAATATCATGGGTGATAGTAGACAGCCTTGTCTTATTCCTGTCTTCACTTCAAAGGCGGGAATGCTCTATGCAAGACTCTTTTTATGCATTGTGTGATGATCTCACTGGCAATGTGATTCTTAAATTCCAGCTTCAAGATTATCTGCTTTTTAGCAACTGTTAATGTTCTTGTCTTAACCCTCATTTATCTTCCAGCAACGTATCATGTTTAGGTATTTTTGAAGTATGATGTATATTGTTTTATTGTGTCGCAACTACTCCTAAACGTATACCAATCTGCTCAGTGCTAACCTGATGCTAATGCATAGGAGATGCTATTTTATCTTGCATTGTTCACATTCACTAGGAGAGTGTATTAGAAAACCCTTCAACAATTAAGCTGTACTCTCCTTGATAAGGTGAATCGATATCCGTTAGCTTAACATTTAGCTATAAGGAGAGACATTAGGATATTCTAATGTCATAATGTGTTGTTCTTCTATACTTCGGTGAATTGTTTAATTCCATAGGTGATTGCTTCATTACGTGGTCAAGATTTAAGCTGTGAAGGTTCAAAAAATATTCATGATAATGAAGAAGATAATTCTGAGAATGAATTAATTAATTCTATGCGTGCCGAATGTGATTTATTACGTGAAGAAGCTAGTCGATGGCGTCTTGAAGTGGATCATAAAGAAATGGCAATACAAGAGTTAGAATTACAAATGCAAACAGAACGCGAATCATTACGACGTAATATTGAATTATCTGAAGAACAAGCAGAACGAGAAAAACAGGTAGATGGATTACTATATTTCATATATATATATATATTTCTCTCTCATCTCTATTCCACGTAATCGTTGTCACTATAAACCGAAGAAAAGTTTTGCCATCGCCGGCACTCATCACCTTGGCGCATTTGAAACCATCGAGAAATTGGCTGTCCCTCATCAATCGGAGGATAGCGTACACTGAAATGTTTCGCCATGTGAGCTAAACATTGAACTGGGAAAGTGTTGATGCTTCGAGTCCCTTTGTGGAGGTCTCACATCTTTCTGAGTCCTTAAAATGGGTCCTCATCACAATTGATGACCACTGGTGGTGTCCGTCAAGAATGCTTACTGTCATCGTTCCTATTCAACTTCGTTATAGATGTACTAATGTACATAAACTTGAATACATCTAGCTTCACATGGATTGATCTACTCTTAGCAGGTCACCTAGTTGACTTGAAGTATGCAGAAGATATTCACGTGCTAGGTGAAGATGCTGATGAAATTCAGGGTTTTGTGAACACATTGAGTAGAAGTCGGAGTATGTATGGTATGCATTTCATATGTATGGAATCTAAGATTATAATGATGATGGTCTGCAACTGCTCGTAGATTAAAGATAGAGAGTGAAGTGATGGAGTGTGTTGACCACTTTTGTTACTTGTGAAGTTGCATCAGTCCCCTGGATGATGGGATGGTTGTTAACAGAACGTCAACTTGGACCGAGACTGCGCCATTTAGCCAACTTCCTTCATCTATGGCACCGGTTGATCTCAGATGAAGCATGAGTATACTGCTCTTCAGTTTGTTCTATCCTCTTACACAGCTATGAGACATGACCGTTTAGTGAGATCAGTGTGTGAGAGGTAAGTTGATTGATAAGGTTGAGAACTGTCATCAGCCGATGTGACATGTGGTGCACATGCCAAGTCACCACCGCCTACCTCGATGTGGCATGCTGGTGTGGGAGAGTTGAACTAGGTTGGAGAAGAGGGCTTGAGGATGGCAATACGAAGATGCAGTAGTAGTCGATGACACCTCTAACTGTTGGTCTGAGCACTGCAGAGAGGTGTAGACTTCCTGGTTTGGGGGCTGTGTGTGTCGAGGATGATAGGAACCAGTGGTAGACATCGCTGAACAGGTTAGCACAGAATCCTGTTGAATTTCAGTTTTTAAAGTGGTAACCATTATGACTAATTATCTTTCATACTCCTCTTCTATTGTGTTGATAATTCTGGTTACTTTTGCATATAAATTTATCAACAGCTTAGAGAAGATGCTGATACTGAGTTGGCACAATTACGACAATCATTACGTGAAATTGAAGAGACATTCAGTCATCAGAAAGCTGATTTACACACTAAACTAATATCAAGTGAATCAGAATTGAATCGATTAAGGCAACTCGCTAGTGCTGCCAGTAGCAGTAGCAGTAGCAGTAATAGTAATAAGTCACCCAATCGAAATGATCCTGAGAATATCTTTACTTTGGAATCACGTATCAGACAGTTAACGGATAATCTCCTGTCGAAACAAGATGCTTTAGATTCAGTTCTAGCACAGAATCATGCTTTAAAGGTGAGTGTTATTTATGCCTATTCTCAGTTTTCCTTCGACTACATTCATTTCTTCTTGGTGAATTGTGAAGGTTATATCAAACAATATTTCTACAATAGGATGATATGATTATCATTATTAGGATGATGATTGCTTACTCTTCTTCTTCTTCTTCGTCTAAACAATGTATAAATGAAACATTCAGTTAGCCCCCTTTATAAATGTATGTGTGTGTGTGTGTGTGTGATGTATTTGCGCAATACACATTTCGAACTATCTCATCTCCGCGCCCCCCTTCCCCAAGACACATTTAATTGTCTCAACTGTATATATATTAAACCGATGAGTGGCACAACATATACAACAATATTAAGACAATAGGGGGATTAAAATTAAGAAAGATGAGAAGAAACAGGAAGTGTGACCTAGTTGATGCTAATCTTGATAAGAAAACAAAGTTTACCAAGGAGCCAGTGGTGTAGTGTAAAAAAAAATTATTCTTTTCTACACATAAAGGTTGTATAAATTTGTGTGTGGTTATGGCTTCCGCAACCTCGCCTGGTTAACTAGTTCACTAGTTACTAGGCGGTCGCAGGCCTGGGTTAAGAGGTAGGTTGTGCATAGCTGTAGCAACCCTACCTCATAAAGCAAATCTAACCGCTTAAGAAACTTCCAAGCACAAAGGAAATCTAAAGATAAAAACCAACTTATTCCTCGCTGGAATTGGAGAGGCGAAATGACGCCAGTTGATGAAAGCCTGACTTCGGGAAACCAGTTGGCCGATATGTGTTCTCTCCCTCGATGAATGCGACAGTAAATATGGGGACTTGGAATGTTCGCACCATGTTTTAAGCCAGCAAGGCAGCCCAGATTGCAAACGAGATGAAGAGGTATCACATTGAAGTGCTTGTAATTTGCGAAAGCAGATGGAATGGGAGTGGACTCTCCAAACTGTCAACTGGACAATCAATAATCTACCTGGGTCACCCATACGACAACCACGAGCACACTGAGCTTTGGAGTGGCTATCATGATGTCTCGTTGAAGAGCATCGAAGGCCCTCATGTGGTGGGTACAATCTCCTCCTGCGTGAGCATGACAGCACGGTTCAACTAGAAAGGAAGGAAGGTCAGAATCATACAGTGCTACGCCACGCACCTACAAATAATGCAGAGCAAGAGAAGGAGACGGAATTCTACAGACGACTTCAATCAACACTGGACAAGACCACACCCCAGTTGGCGATATCAAAATTCTAATGGGCGGGGTGACATGAATGCGAAACTGGGAGGGGACAACACAGGAAGAGAACTAACCATGGGTCGAGAATCGCTCGGTGAGGTGATGAACGAGAATGGAGAATTGTTTGCAGAATTCTGTGCATTCAACGATTTTGTGATTGAAGGTGAAGCAGTGTATTCAAGCACAAGGATATCCACAAAGCGAGCGACATGGATTTCACCAGATGAACGCACTATAAATCAGATAAACTTTATCTCAATCTCAGGAAAGTGGAGACGCAGTCTACTTGACACAAGGCCAAGAAGAGGAGCAGATGTAGGTTCAGACCACTCACTATCTAGTGCAAGGAACCTAACTTCCAAATCAAGTTGAAAGCCTTCAAGGAAGCTGGTGATAGACCTCAATTCAAGTACAACACTCGGAACACAAACTGAAGGATGAAACTACGAAGGAGATCTTCACGGCAGTCAGCCATCAAGACGAAATGGGAGATATCGAGGAACATCCCTGAAGAAACCTGTGTGGAAGAACACTGGAAGTCTTTGAAAGCTATGTGGAAAGAAACCTGCACAGCCGTATTAGGAAGGAAGAAGAAAGAAGACAGGACAGGGAATGGATCTCGACGGATACCTGGAAGCTGATAGAGCAGGGAGAGGAGGATGGTGAAGCAGAAGATAAACCAGTGCAAGGATGCTCAACGACAAGAGGAACTGAGTACAATGTGTAGAACACTACACTGGACAAAGAAGTGAAGAAGAGTGCACGGAGGGACAAAAGACACTTCTACGAAACATTGGCAAGTGAAGCAGAACAGGTTGCAGGAAAGAGAGACCTGATGACATTGTATCAAATAACTAGGTTGCTATCTGCGAAGAGATCAACGCAGACGAAACCAATGAAAGATGATGAAGAAAATCTAATTACGAAAGAAGAGAAACAAAGGAAACGATGGGGTGACCACTTCCAGAAGCTCTTGCATCGACCACCACCTGTACTTCGTCCAGTAATACCACCTGCAGCTGCTGAACTACAGGTGAACATAAATCCTCCAACAAAAGTGGAACTCCTGAACGCCATAAAGCAGGCTACTGGAATGCGGGAAAGCAGCAGGACCAGATGGGATACCGCCAGAAGCACTGAGAACAGATGCAGAGACAACAAGGGACATGCTCACACCACACCACTATTGCAGGCGGTGTGGAAGGAAGAGAAGGTACTTGTCTATTGATAGGAAGAAGGGTTACCTCGTCAAACTGCCGAAGAAGGGAGACCTCAATGTTTGCAAGAAGTGGTGTGGAATCACTCTCCTGTCCACCCCAAGTAAAATCTTAAGCCGCATCATCATGGAGAGACTAAAGGATGCACTGGATTCAAAACTACGACCTGGACAGGCTGACTGGTTTCAGGAAGTACAAATCATGTGCAGACCAAATTGCAACGCTTCGTATCATCATAGAACAGAGCATAGAATGGCAGTCAACACAACTTTACCTCAACTTTATCAACTTTGAGAGGGCCTTTGATAGCGTCGACCGAGAGGTTACTTTGGAAACATGCCAGCTAAGTAATTCCCACTGGGAAGATCAGTGATGCTATTGAAGTAGAGTGAAGACAGGAGGAAACAAGGCCGTCTACTATCTCCTATGATATTCTTGATTGTGGTCGACTGGATCGTGCAACAAACAGTGAGGAGCGAGAAGAGGGGGATACGCTGGCTGGACTGCGGAAAAGAACCTAGAAGACCTGGATTTCGCCGATGATGACTTGTGTCCGATGTCACACAAACGTGATGATCTACAGGCGAAAACCAACAAGTTGGCAGAAGAGGCAGTGCAGCGAAGACGGCACTTCAAGTGAACGTAGAGAAGAGAGAAGTGATCAAGATACCCAACCAACAACAACAAACTCCAATCATCATCAACGGGAGAAACTTAAAGGAAGTAACCTCCTTCACCTATCTAGGCAGCACTGTTTCAACTACAGGTGGCGGCGCAGACGAGGATGTCAAAGTCAGAATCGGAAAAGTAAGACAGTCGTTCATTAGCCTGAAACCAGTGTGGAGATCTTCTGCACTGCACTCAACATGTGGAACAAGATCCGGATTTTCAACACCAACGTCAAGTCAGTGCTTCCATGTGGTGGCTCAGATACTTGGCGCGTTACGAAAGGCATTTCCAATAAACTACAGACATTCATCAACAACTGCTTACGCTCGCTGCTGAAGATCAGATGGCCAGAATAATAAGAATAAGCAACAAGGAGCTCTGGGAACGAACCAACCAAGAACCTATCATCTAACAAATATGCACTGGAAGGAAGTGGAGATGGATTGGGCATACACTGAGAAGGCCGACTGAGGACATCACGCGTCAGGCTGTCGAGTGGAATCCCCATGGGAAGCGACGAGTTGGACGTCCAAGGGTGACATGGAGGAGATCATGTGAGGAGGAAATGAGAGCTTGTGGGTTGTTGTGGAGCTAGGTTGAAATGTTTACAGAGAAGAGAGTTCACTGGAGACGTGCTACTGAAGCCGTTTGTTCTATTAGGAACCCAAGGGACTAATAATAATAATAATAATAATAATAATAATAATAATAATAATAATAATAATAATAATAATAATAATAATAATAATATGGCTTCCGAAAACCTCAGTATACGACCCTGACTGACTGTTTCTATATAAAACTTTGAAAACTGTTTGAATATTGATTTTGTGACTTGTCTCTGTGTTATGTTTAGCTGGGGATGAAGAGAGTCGTCTCTGACTAGCATTTATCGTTGTTACACATTAGATTTGTTTATTCAGTTATTTGGGCAATCGGCGACTAGGTATGCGTAACACATGTCCCAACCACCTATCTCAGTCGATGAAGGTTCACAACCCTTTCAGTCAACTGATTTACCTCTTCTCCCTAAAACTCTACACCTGAGACTGACTTCTGCAAGTCACAAAATTAATGTCCAAACAGTTTTCAAATTTTCATATAGAATCAGTCGGTGAGGTACGTATTCTGAGATTTGCGGAAGCCATAACCATACACAAATTTAAACAACCTTTATGTCTAGAAAAGAACAATTTGAACAGGACATACAAGTGAGCAACATGGTCTTCAATTAGATCCTCGTCAAGCCTTACTCTAGTACGATTAGCTTGAGATGTATATAAAGTCAAACCAATGATGTAGATTTGTCGGTCAACCTGATAATCCTGGATTCCACACCTAGTTACTATCCATCATTTCTATAATTAGAACACAGGTAATATCGTGGTATTTACACATGAGCGCATATGCCAATAAAGAGAGAATGATCAATTCGGTCCAATCAACGACGGTATAATACAAGCAAGTATACTAACGCTATACCTAAGAAGTGGCTATCGTTGGTTCGGTGGTGTAGTGGTCTGGCATTCGAAGTGATCCCTCCCTCCCGTGTTTAAATCCGGGTGGGAAAGATACCACTCACTTGGAGGCAGGTACATCCAGCTGATGACGAGTCCCAAATAAGAGGATGAAATGCACATACTGGATTCCACACTGCTAGACGCTATCCATCATTACTACAACCTGAAAAATGTTTTAAAAATAATAATGGTGATATTGATACAAACGACAATAATGATGACGATTATAAGAACAAAGAAAGCCGCATGAAAATGAAGACACAACATGATACTAAAGGTGGGTGAAAAGCTTGTGAAAATAAAAGTTACGCAATACTGAAAGACGAGGTAAGTGGATAAACAAAGTCTAAACACATACAGTAAGTATATGAAAGTGGTGGAGAATCAGAAAAGGTGTGGGTAAAAAACAACAACTGAATGATAAAGTTATTAATTAAGTATTCCCTGGCCAAAGACAGAGATGATAAGGGATGTACTAGGCTTTCTGATTATGCCAGTCGTTGTTAACTTTTTACAGTTCTGTCACCTTATATCCTCCGTGTTTTATCGATAGTAAACTTTTCCATATTTCTGGTATATGTTTAAACAGTTTAATGAGAAGATGAATATTATCTGAAATATATGTTGTATTATCGCTATATATTTCGAAAAATCGGATTACACATCAACCTGTCGAATAATTGATATACAACTTAGAAAGGTTAATTTATAATGGATATGGGCTTTGTCTTCACCATTGAGATGACCTTGGCCGCATTATATACTGCTAACAGCTGATTTGAACGTTTTCTTCAAGATTAGGCTGTTTGATTCACCTCTGTATTTATACTGGCTGATGATTGAAGGTGAAATGAAAATTTGGACCGCGGCCGGATTCGAACCAGCAACCACTGAGGTTTCCGGTTGGATATTCTACTAACTGAGCTACGAAATCCGACTGTTGACCGCATTTTTATTTCACTGAAATCATCAAGCTTCTTTTTACTTGACTACCCTATGTGAATTCATGATGCATTACTGCCGCTAGATCGTATTCACATTGGCTGCCCACCACTCAGGACTTCTCATCTCAGAGACACGGGGCACCATATTGATATTATCATTTGGCAGACTAGTATTTATATTGGGTTGGGCATTGAATAGTCAAATGATAATCACCATTGTATGACAATGGTATATGCACATTTTTCTTAGGGATAGAATATTGACTAGTCGGTGCCAATGTTGTGCCGATTTAACATCTATTGATATGCATTTTGCACTAATATATCTGTCAGATACGATTAACTGTTTTAAATAAACACCTGACTAAGCCATATTAGTGTTGAGCTGGACAGTAACTATAGGAACTAAGATATTATCCTGTTCAAGTCACGTTCATGTGGATATACCTACTGATTAAGCCATCCCCTCTTCAACTAATCAACAGGTGGCACAGGCACAGATGAGGATGTCAAAACCAGGATCCAAAAGAGAATAAGACAGGCTATCACTAGTCTGAAATCAGTGTCGAGATCTACTCCACTTCACCCCACTTCACTCAGCATAAAGCGTCAACAACATCCATATTTTAAACACTAATTCAGTCAAGTAAGTCAGTCAGTGAGTACTTCTATATGATGATTCATAGACTTGTCGGCGATTGACGAAAACCATTTCCAACAAACTACAGACATTCATCACATCAACAGCTACCACCTACACTCACTCAATACTCACACTGAAGATCAGGTGGACTGTCAGAATAATCAGAACAAGAATAAGCAACAAGGAACTCAATCTGGCTGCCAGCAAACCAATCAACAAGCTATCACCCAAGAAACATGCAGAAGAGGAGAGTGGAAATGGAGTGGATTGGATTGAAGAAACACTGAGAACACGGATTGAGGACATTACACGTCAGACCAGGTCCTCGAGTAGAACTCAAAGGGGAAACGACTACTTGGGCGTTCGAGTCGAGGGTGATATGGAGGAGATGGCATGAGGAAGAAATGAAAGCAGTGGTGGACAGAGGTTCAAAAGACTGCAGAGAAGAGAGTGCAATGGAGGTGTGTTAGTGAAGTTCTATATTCCACTAGGAACCCAAGGGAAAAATAATCATAATATAATCAGTTCCTTACAGTTACTCAAATAAGAAAGAAAGTATATGGAACTCGAGATGGTACAGTATATACTTGAAAGTGGAAGTGAATAATACATTTTATAAGAGAAGCACCTTTCTAAAATGCTAATGATATTTCGGAACCTCACAGAATTGATTCCTTCAGAGAATAAAACCTGTATAACAAGTTATCATAGAGGATAAACCAATAACAAGACGTGAATTGTCTAAACCGTATGTAGTATACTTGTGTAACATATTTAGAAGAATGTGATCATGCACACTTACTTGTGATTTATATAAAAATTTATAAAAAGATAATAGGTGAGAATATGAATAGAGGTGAAGTATAGGAAGGTTGAATTAAACTTCCTAATGGTTAAAGCGTCGACCAATTTAAGCAAATAACCATGACAATCATGTGACCTGTTCGAACGATATGTTTCATGATCGAAGAACTTGAATGTCTGGAGGAAACGTTTATTAGTTCTGGGGATTCAAGCCACTTTTGGAATACACTCTAAGGCCTTAAGTTGTATAGATTCATTTATATGTGACCACACGTACATTTGAATTGGTAGATGCAATGAGGTGTGACACTGTCGTCCATATACTCTAAGGGTTTGAGAGAATATACAGGCTTGGTAGTTTCTGTTAATCGAAGCCTGGCTGGATAGTAAGTCCTTCTAACAACAGCGTTAAGTCTCTGCTTCTTCTTACACATACTCACTCTCGATTCTTTTTTATTCTTTTTCAAGATTCGACTTGATCATGTTATGAATGATAATGAATCACTTGTCTCAGCCCTATCTTCGGATGATAATAATCAATCGGTATTGGAAAATGGCAGATCTTATCATTCTGTTGGATATACCTGTAATCGACTTAATTTACATGTGAGTTTTGTATGTCTGAATACTTTAATCCCCTTTCCTGTCGTCTTCTTTCCTATTGAACATTATTATCTTTGTATTCTAATTATGATAAAGGTATGTTAGGGGTTAGGAGTTATTTTTTGGCATGGGGATTTCAAACAACCAAGCGTACTTATATCAAGTGATTTCTATCATAACTCAAAGTGTTCAGTATTCATAAATGGTGTTATTTATCGATTTTTCAGTCTCCTATCACTAAATAACATACAGATTTTTGTAAAATTCCGAGGTATGTTGATCTAACACCTACCTACCTACCTACCTACCTACCTACCTACCTACCTACCTACCTACCTACCTACCTACCTACCTACCTACCTACCTACCTACCTACCTACCTACCTACCTACCTACCTACCTACCTACCTACCTACCTACCTACCTACCTACCTACCTACCTACCTACCTACCTACCTACCTACCTACCTACCTACCTACCTACCTACCTACCTACCTACCTACCTACCTACCTACCTACCTACCTACCTACCTACCTACCTACCTACCTACCTACCTACCTACCTACCTACCTACCTACCTACCTACCTACCTACCTACCTACCTGCCTGCCTACCTACCTACCTACCTACCTACCTACCTACCTACCTACCTACCTACCTACCTACCTACCTACCTACCTACCTACCTACCTACCTACCTACCTACCCACCTACCTACCTACTTACATGAGACGATGAACTGTTGCAGCTTCATATCATATGATTGATACCGATAACTAAGATCATAGGACTATCTCTGTGCCTTTCAATTTCTGAAGTAGCTATGCGTATCGATGCTTTTCGTTTACTGGCGTCCTAATTCGTTAACTGACTAAATTGCTTACAAGATAAGATCATCACATCGTTTTTACTAGCCATCAGCTTGTTTCCCAGTAGACTATCTGCAGTTGAATGAAATACCCACACAAAAGCAATGAATTTAAATACACATATATCCAACAAAACCATTTTGCCTACACAATAAGAGAGATTAACTCATAAGTAACATATTGACCGCGGAATCTGGACGTCTTGGCTTCGATACCTAGTGAAGTCATGGGTACACACTATTGAGGAATCTCTTACTCGGACGAAATAGCTGTATAGTTCTCCAACTGGTTTCACTTCACAAGGTTGAATTCATCTTTCATCTTTGAATCCTTAATAATAGCATGTTAATTGAGTTACACACAACAGTCCGACAATCATAGGGCGAATTAGTATGACTAATATTGTGTCCAAGATCCTAGAATTCATAGATATCTGCCGATTAAGTGGACCTGGAGAATAGAAAATCAGACAAGTTTCAGATACAGCTGGACGAAGATGCATCAATCATATTTTCATCCTCCGAAAGATTCTGGAACACAGGCATAGGCACACCTACTGGCCAATAGCTAATACTTGTCATATTTCTTGACCTGAAGGTGGTATTTCATTCTGTCAACCGTGGACTGTTATGGGAGTGTTCGACTGTGAAGCGAGTATCGAACAAGTATATAACCCTAATCAAATCTCTCTACTCGAATTCACACAGTCATGTTAAGGGCTTACGGAGTTGACAACAACTAGTGGTGTCCTCCAGGGATGCTTACTTTACTGTCATCGTTCCTATTTAACTTCGTTATAGACGTAATAGTAGAGAAAAGCTTAGATATGTCTTTCACATGGATTGATCTACTCTTTGGAGGTCGCCTAGTTGACTTGGAGTATGTAGACAGTATTGACGTGCTAGGTGAAGATGCTGACGAAATGTAGTAACTTTTAAATGCGTTGGGTAGAAATCTAAGTTTATTTGGCTGGCATGGGTTTTACACCTGTCAAATTTAACATGATACTGCAGGACTGGTCTACAACTATTCCTAGTTTAATGATAGGGAGTGGAATGAATGAATACATCGACCACTTCACTGGCTTGAGGACTTGCATCAACCCGCCGAACGAGTTTGTTGCTGACGAAATCTTCGGTCGGATGGAGTGAGCCAACTTGTATCATCTGTAGTGCCGACTTGCGAGATACCTAACTATCAAGCAAATGATGAATATACTGCACCACAATAGTTCAATCTCTCTTGTTATATGGCTGTCGAAAATAAAAGACACTAAATGGTTACAAGGTTTTGACCATAAGTGCCTTCAAAGCATTACTGACGTTTGGTTGAGTCACTATGTGAGCAAATTCGTGGTCAGGCGAAGGGTTCTAAGGAAGGAAGGGTAGTCAATCAATCAGGTTATGAACCTTCATCGACTAAGGTCAAGTGAACATATGTTGTGCATGCCGAATCACCGCCTACTACCTCAAGAGATATACTTAACTTTTATAGAAAGGTGTATGACAGTTGCATCTCCCGGGTGAAGAATAATAATGCGGTTGTCTAGCCCAGATGTTTTGAGCAGTAAGTATAAAGGAACTATTTTAAAACTAGAAGGTGCGTAGATGCGAAGAAATAACGTTTAATGCAGAAAAATAAGATGCTGAGGGTCATTGATCTACGTCCTGAAGTTTCAATTTATGTGTCATATGGTAGAACAACACTCCCATTTACTGAAATCTGATAACACAAACGTGAATCAATCAATATCAACTTAGGACCAGGCATTACTGCGTAACAGTCCAACTTGCCACACCTCATATCACCACATAAAGTAAAAAGGCAGTGAAGTGGAAGATGAAGAAAACAGAATTCAGTCAGAAGAAATATAAAGTACTAAAAGGAAGAAAGGGAGAATGACAAAAATGGTTATAGCGTTGTTAAGATGAGGATAATGTGTGCATGTGTATACATCTGCGCCACTCACATCGGTTCTGAGCCATATCACCTTGAGTCTCCAACCACTGGTTCCTCTTGTCCTGCGGACCCCAACCGACTAGTCTGCATCACCCCACATGGCTTGCTTAATTGCATCTCAATGTTATCAACAAATGAGAGAAGCGAAATTTGGCTACAATATCTCACAGAACCAATTGAGCAGATGAAGCTAATCTATCCAATATTACGTAATGATTGTGCGGTTAAGTGTATGTGTCAAAAAAAGCTGATCAGTGTCATTTAAAATAGCGGAGCACAAAAAGTTGGCATACTAAATAGGTAGACCTTAGTAAGATAAGTAATTTCGAGGAAAACTCACTTATCGCTTTGTATTCACTGACCCATAATCACACTTTGTTGAGTAGGATAGAGTGACAGTTCTACAATCTGACGGTGGAGGGTTAGATTGTTTACAGAATTCTTGTTCATTGAACCAACATCCAATGCGTATATGTCACATTACATCATACTATTGTTTCTAGTCTCAACAAAGATGTTAAGTATGTTCGTTGTACCTTTTTTTTGGATTACTCGTCAGCCTTTGACTCAATTCCCAGACCATCCTTGGTAAATCAGCTTGCGATAGCTCATAGTGAGCCATGGATTACATACTATGCAGTCAAGCTTTATATTATCAATAAGACAAAAAATTCTACTTTAAAATAAACCTCATCACTTCATAAATGATTGCGTCACATTCCATTGTGTATACCAATTTACAGATGTGTAAGTTCCTTGACATATACATTGGGAGAAGGAGTAATCACACTATGAAGTCAAGGATAGTGGAGAATATCCCCTTAAATGGTTAGAAAAACGATTACATTCAAATAATCCGATAAATACCAGGGTCGGACAGACGTCATCGTTGAAAGGTAAACACATTATAAAAACAGGTCATAGAATAGACATCAATACAGCCTTTACAGTATCGTATAGAGGCCGTCAATATCGTATACATATGTTCCCTTTTGAGTTCTACTCGACAGCCTGGCCTGACACGTGATGTCCTCAATCCGTGTTCTCAGTGTTTGTTCAATCCAACCCACTCCACTCCAGTTTCACTCTCCTCTTCTGCATGTTTGTTGGGTGATAGCTTGTTGATTGGTTGGTTGGTTTGCTGGCAGTCAGATTGAGTTCCTTGTTGCTTATTCTTGTTCTTGTTATTCTGACAGTCCACGTGATCTTCAGTATGAGTATTGAGTGAGTGTAGGTGGTAGCTGTTGATGTGATGTATGTCTGTAGTTTGTTGGAAATGGTTTTCGTCAATCGCCGACAAGTCTGTGAATCATCATATAGAAGGACTCACTGACTGACTTACTTGACTGAATTAGTGTTTAAAATATGGATGTTGTTGACGCTTTATGCTGAGTGGAGTGGAGTGGGGTGGAGTGGAGTAGATCTCGACACTGATTTCAGACTAGTGATAGCCTGTCTTATTCTCTTTTGGATCCTGGTTTTGACATCCTCATCTGTGCCTGTGTTGCCTGTAGTTGAAACGATGCTGCCTAGGTACGTAGGTAGGTGAAAGCGACAACTTCGTTTACATTTCTCCCGTTGATGGTGATTGGTGCTTGTTGTTGTTGTTGTTGTTGTTGGTTGAGTGTCTTCATCACTTGTGTCTTATCTACGTTCACCTGAAGCTCCTCCTTCCTTCACTGCCTCGTTTTTTCTACCAATTGGTTAGATTTTGCCTGTAGATCTTTGAGTTTGTGCAACAAGACATTACACATATATCCTCATCGGTGATATCCAAATCTTCTAGGGTATTTCCATCGGTCGAACAGCGTACGCCCATCTTCTCGCTTCTCGCAGTTGTGTTTTTCTATGATCTAGTCCACTGCAGTTGACTACAATCAGAAAGATCATGGGTGATAGTAGGTGGCAACCTTGTTTTACTCATGTCTTCACTTCACTTCAAAGGCATCACTGAGCTTTCGATTGGCAATCACTTCGCATACAGCATCATATAACTGTTGAATGAGGACGACAGAGGTTTGTGACACTGAAACCGTCGTGTTGAAGCAGCTGCCTGCAAAATTACTTGTCAGTCGATGCTGTTGAAGACCTTCTCAAAATCGATGAAGTTGAGTTGACTGCTTTTCTATGCTCTGTTCTATGATAATGTATAGCGTAGCGTTACAATTTTGTTTTTAATTTATATTAACATAAATTAATATCTTGTATATTTTTTTTCCTTCTTTGTTTTTGTCTGTTAAATTTTCATTTTTTCATCAAGGATACACCTATACCGAGACAATTAAGATTATTAGCCTATCGAATTGATAATTTTGGTATACGTGTAGTGAATACTTTACGACGTTTTCCAATGATTCGTTCAATTTTATTATGTTATATATTGATGTTACATATTTGGATATTGATTCGATATTTCTTACCTGTGAATAATATGAAAATTGATGGCGGCCATGGTAGTGACATCAACAGTAGCAGCAGCAGCAGCAACAATAAATTGACCTCGGGGAACAATCCATCTATCTTAGCTCCAGTTAATCATATTTCTTAATGCTTTGAATAAACTTTAAGTTTATCATCGTTACTATGAAATGTATGCATATATGGATGTATTCTTTAGAAGCGTATTTCCTGTGATTTTTTTCCTTTTTTTTTCTTCTGAAAAATCTATTTATCAGTTATTTGTTTTTATTGTCTTGGTATTGATTAAATTTCCTTACAGATTTTAGGATTATAATCTGATTTGATGGAATATACGGAGTAGATTCATTAGGTGAATGGTTAATATGTGTATAAATCTCCTTCAATGAGGTAGAAAAGTAAGTTTCTGTAGCTTCATTGATTGATATTGGTTAGAGGAGCATTGGAAACCTGAAAGTACTGGATAACAGTATACACTTATGCCTCGACCATGGATTGACCCCTTAGACTTTCAGTTTCCGTAGCCAGGAGGTTACCATTAAGCCTCTGAATCAACATTCGATGGTTATAACACCACATATATCCAGTTCTGTTGTCATTCAGTAATTATCCTCATATCTGACCTCATTGGTGATGACTACTCATTACCACTTCAGGAATCATCATATCTGGAAGTAAATCGCCAATGAGGAACAGTCTTCTTAACCTGTCTCCACGACTGCCCATAACCTCTCATTTCTTCGTCACACTATCTCCTCCATGTCGTCATCGTGGGACGCCGAACTCGTTGTTTCCCCTTTGAGTTCTACTCGACAGCCTGGCCTGACACGTGATGTCCTCAATCCGTGTTCTCAGTGTTTGTTCAATCCAATCCACTCCATTTCCACTCTCCTCTTCTGCATGTTTGTTGAGCGATAGCTTGTTGATCGGTTGGTTGGTTGGTTTGCTGGCAGTCAGATTGAGTTCCTTGTTGCTTATTCTTGTTCTTAATATTCTGGCAGTCCATCAATTATAAAATGCTGAATCCAGTATAGCGCTTAGATTATCATAAGGTGCCCATGCATTTGCTCATGGATATCGATTGTCATCTGTTTCACTTACAGTTTGCAACCACCGGTTTATTGTTTTCATGGTGATCCCAACCGGGGGGTCTGCATTTCTCCACACTACACATACTGATATCATATTTTTGTCTTACCTCCTGCAGCCTTTTTCCAGTATGAAACAATTCCAAGTGACATTGTTTGATGCAGAAAACGGTGGCTAAGAATTTGCAGCACACATGGTTCAAAACGTTATCGATCGATTTTCCCCTTCTTTTTAAAAGTCTACACTTTACTTCTGCATTACTGATGTGGTGAGGCCAGGACACATGTCCTGTACTTCGAAGGCGTTTTCGGTCGAATACCTAAAATTGTTTCGTTTCCCTCCTACCAATAATCCTCACGTTTAACAGTTATACAGTAGAACACGGAGAACTGCAGTAAAATACTCTCTACCTTCAATAGACAAGCAGATATCATGGCGTTCGCATAAGTGGTTTAAGTCAGCGGAAGCCAATTGAACCCTTTTTATCCGTTCAGAAATTTTGCCACTCACTGACACATGAGTGCTAGTTCGGCTTACCAAGTGACTATTTCCCTCTGTATTATTATTCTAGGCACCAGAGATGATCAGTCTTGGAGCAACAGTATGTATTTGGACGGCAAGAATCCTATTAAAAACATTCTCATCTTTGCTACCCAAGGTGTCTCAAAGACTGTGTCTCGTCAAAGTCTTTACCTAACAGGAATACGTCACTCTAAGTGATACAATTGAATTTGTTGAATCTATGAGGTATATGAAGTTATCCTACAGTGAAAGCATTTCTTTTCTTTCGACTTAAATAACTGTTGGTTGGATTCATGTTGAACGTCTAATTTATACGTAACCGACGTGATGTATCATAAGATAAATGGAATCACACCTTCGTGATTAGTTTAGAGAATGGATACTTGAGATCACTGGTCGATAACTTTCTACCATACAAAACGGATGAATGATACTTTTATGATCTGTGAAAATCAGTGTGACCTGAATCATATTCTTCTTCAGGAGTTAAACTATTATTATTGTTTATTTGTCCCTTGGTTCCTAATGGAACATACAGCTTCAGTAGCACGTCTCCAGTGCACTCTGTTCTCTGCAAACTTTTCAACCTAGCTCCACGACAACCCACAAGCTCTCATTTCTTCCTCACATCATCTCCTTCATCTCACCCTCACTTCGGACGCCCAACTCGCCGCTTCCCATCCGAGTACCACTCAAGCGCCTGGCATGGAGCGTGATGTCCCCAGTCGGCCTTCTCAGTGTATGCCCAATCCATCTACACTTCCTTCCTCTGCACATTTGTTGAGTGATAGGTTGTTGGTTGGTTCGTTGTCAGCCAGAGTTCCTTGTTGCTCACTGTTATTATTCTGGCCATCTGATCTTCAGTATCGAGCCAGCGAAGGCGGCAGTTGTTTATGAATGTCTGTAGTTTGTTGGAAATGCTTTTCGTAACGCGCCAAGTCTCTCAACCATCACATATAAGCACTCACTGACTTACTTGACTAAGATTAGTAGTGTTGAAAATCCGGATGTTGTTCAAGCTTTATGCTGAGTGAAGAAGATCTCCACACTGATTATTTCAGATTAATGCAGTGAGGTCTGTCTTGCTGTGTTTCCGATCCTGCCTGGTTTTGACGTTCTCATCTGTGCCACCGCCACCTGTAGTTGAAACGATGCTGCCTAGGTGGTTGGTGAAAGAGTCTACTTCCTTTAGGTTTTTCCCGTTGATGATGATTGGAGCTTGTTGTTGTTGTTGTTGATGTCGTTGGTTGGGTATCTTCATCTGTCACCTCTGTCTTCTCTACGTTCACTTGAAGTTCCGTCTTCGCTGCCCTGCCTCTCCTGTCAAATTGTTAGTTTTCGCCTGTAGATCTTCAAGTTTATGTGACATTAGACATAAGTCATCGGCGAAATCCAGATCTTCTAGGTTCTTTTTCGTGGTCCAGCTCCTCACTGTTTGTTGCATGATCCAGTCCACTACAATCAGGAATATCATGGGTGATAGTAGACAGCCTTGTTTCACTCCTGTCTCCACTTCAAAAGCATCACTGATGGATATGCAAGAATACGAAGAACAAATACTTCTGGCAGACAGATTGTTTTCAGTAAATGTATTCTTTATGTTGTAAAATCGTCAAAAGCTTTTCTCGAAATATCAATCTCGGACCAGAGGAATCAATGTTGATGACAGGGTCAATCATAGCGCTTCTTAACCATTCACTGTAACCTCTTTGTAACCCCTATGGGATAAAGCTATTAATATAATCTGGAAAACACTCACACTGAATAACCTATTTACTTGACTACACAGGTGCAAGTGAATCGGTGTAGGCACATTAAGTGAGACACGGCAGTTTGTCCTTCTTGTAAGAGAGTGTGATATACTCTTGTTTAAAGTATCAGAGGTAAAAAATATGACTAGTCTTCCTTTGAGACTTATTGGCACCTATTTGACCCCATACAAAATGTCTCTTTTTGTAAAGTGACCTCTTAAACATTCCATCAGCTTTTCTCGTCAATTCTTTACCGAATGAAAAAGAATTTTTAATCGAATTCTTATTCAAAGAGTGATTCTGATTACTGAGTCGAATGTATAAACAATACACTGGACAAAGAAGTGGAGAAGAGTGCGCGGAAAGATAAAAGACACTTCCACGACACACTGGCAAGTGAAGCAGAACAGGCTGCAGGTAGGAGAGACCTGACAACATTGTATCAAATAACCACACAAGAAGATTTGGATTTCGCCGATGACTTATGTCTAATGTCACATAAACTTGAAGATCTACAGGCGAAAACTAACAATTTGACAGGAGAGGCAGGGCAGCGAAGACGGAACTTCAAGTGAACGTAGAGAAGACAGAGGTGACAGATGAAGATACCCAACCAACGACATCAACAACAACAACAACAAGCTCCAATCATCATCAACGGGAAAAACCTAAAGGAAGTAGACTCTTTCACCAACCACCTAGGCAGCATCGTTTCAACTACAGGTGGCGGTGGCACAGATGAGAACGTCAAAACCAGGCAGGATCGGAAACACAGCAAGACAGACCTCACTGCATTAATCTGAAATAATCAGTGTGGAGATCTTCTTCACTCAGCATAAAGCTTGAACAACATCCGGATTTTCAACACTACTAATCTTAGTCAAGTAAGTCAGTGAGTGCTTATATGTGATGGTTGAGAGACTTGGCGCGTTACGAAAAGCATTTCCAACAAACTACAGACATTCATAAACAACTGCCGCCTTCGCTGGCTCGATACTGAAGATCAGATGGCCAGAATAATAACAGTGAGCAACAAGGAACTCTGGCTGACAACGAACCAACCAACAACCTATCACTCAACAAATGTGCAGAGGAAGGAAGTGTAGATGGATTGGGCATACACTGAGAAGGCCGACTGGGGACATCACGCTCCATGCCAGGCGCTTGAGTGGTACTCGGATGGGAAGCGGCGAGTTGGGCGTCCGAAGTGAGGGTGAGATGAAGGAGATGATGTGAGGAAGAAATGAGAGCTTGTGGGTTGTCGTGGAGCTAGGTTGAAAAGTTTGCAGAGAACAGAGTGCACTGGAGACGTGCTACTGAAGCTGTATGTTCCATTAGGAACCCAAGGGACAAATAATGAAAATGTGTAATGTAATTCTTGCATATTGTAATGGGTTTCATTCACTTGGTTAGTATTTCGAAACCTGTCAAATTGAAAATTTGAGCATTTCACTCTTTTAGGGATTTGAGAAATCTGCCTTGTTTTCTGTAGTCCCAATAAACTCTCAGACGATGATAGGACCCTAGTATCTTGAGTATGTTATCGTTTAAACGTATATCCTTGCTTTCGTCTCAAGGAAACGTCTCCTTTTTCTAAGAAAGATTTATGATCAGCGATCTTAACGAACCTCCATAAACTGCATGAGACTTCACTTATTCTTCTCAATAATTTTTCACCTCCATTTCTAAAGATAATCTGTACTAAATCATTAAGGTCTACTGCTTTGCATTGTCCGAGTTTTGAAACAGCTTTGGATAACGTTGGAAGATCATTGCCTACATACCATTTGCGTTTGGATTGGATGTTAGGCGATTGAAGTCTCAGCTTGGTATTTGAATTTTTTCTTCAAAGTTTCCTATCCTACATTTCAGTCAGCTGTGATGCCCGTTTATTTGGAACC